GAAAGAGAGAGAGAGAACGGATCCCCTTAACACGACTCGGACGGCCCATGCAGGCTATCTGAAGGGTCCTCGCAGTCATGTAGCGCAGACCCCCTACAAATATCGAGGCAGGCAGTGAATATGAAGTAGAGCACGAGCTGGCCGAGTATATACTCAAGTTTCAAATTCTGGTCTGTGTTTCAGCAGTTATGGGTTGCTCACGTAGCTAGGCCCTGTTGGTGTCTGCACGTGACTCTTAGGGCTTGGCTGCACTACTCACGAAATCTTCTGCAGAACGTGGAATAATATGCCCCCGTATGTTTTGTCTTTTGTGCATCTGGTGAGTAGAGGCCCTTAGGGCCACTGCACGTATTCCTAAGAGAAGAAAAACGAGAAAAGAAATGAAAAGCGAGAAAACAGAGAAATAGTGACCCATAACCGAGATGCACAGACCTGAATTCGAATCCAGACTATATATTCTCTGCCCACCCTCACGGAGTACAAGTTTGAAGTGTATCTCTGTATGACGTCGGGTCCTAGCTAATATGCTGTAGGGATCCTTCCGAAAAGAGCCTGGACACAACTAGGACGTTTTTATTTTTCTAGTTTCGTGCACCGCATCACTTGTGTGTGCGTGCATGCGCGTGCGGCACCCCCGCGCATGAGATGCGCCGCAAGTATGATTCGAAGTTTCGAACACATCTCTTTCTCTCTCTCTCTCTCTCTCTCTCTCTCTCTCTCTCTCTCTCTCACACACACACACACACACACACACACACACACAAAGGGGGTCCGAAATCCCCCAACAGGTGAGTGCGCTGGGGGGGGCCCGGCCCCCATCCGGGTGCCCTGCCCGGCCAGGCCGCCCGGGACCTCCCCCGGGCCCCTGCCAGTTACCCGGGCAGCCCGGATCCCCACTCAGAAAAAAAAAAAAAGAAAAAAAAAAAAGAAAACTGTGAGCCTCCGAGTAATTTGGTAAACAGGCTGATTTACTTCACGTGGTCAAAAGCTCAAAGTTCTTTTTTTCGATTTTTCTTTCTAGTTTTTTTAACTTTTTTTCAATCTATGCTTTTTCGGGTTTGGTTTATTAACTTTATTTAACCTACAGTTTCTAACCTCTCCTGACATTGTGACCTGATCAGATAAAAACTTTGACGTACGGAATCGGGGGATAGGAGGGATACCCATATACCATCAAATTGCATTAACCCTTTTATTCACCTTGGTTTTTCAGAGAGACACGACCGTCTTCACCCGAATAGAACGGCCGGTCAGTATAGCCGTATTTGGTGCAATTTCCCGTCCAGATACGGCTATAATGACCGGGCGTTCTATTTGGGTAGTTAAGCTTGAGGGATGGCAGTCAATTGACCAGAAAATATTGACAAATTTGACCGCAGTAACAATACTAACAATCAGTTCACATTGCGACTTTTTTTTTTTTTCCCTCTCAATTTCTCAAACATAGGGCACGGTTGTCACATAGCTGGGCTGTGTGAGCCCTTGAAATAGTGCTAAATACTAAATAGGAAGCGAAGACACAGTAAACAGTACACACAGGGATGCTGGAATGCAGCAAAAGGCATGCTTTCGATACGACTTCCACAGCTTTATCTGGCCGTTATGGCTGTGAAATGCTTCCAGAAAAATCATGGTGTGAGTAGGCCCTGATTCTCATGGCATATGACAGCTGCATGGATGGGTTCAGACAGGGAGCGGGAGCAATCAAAAACCCACCTTCCAAAAGGAGAGTAAGCGCCGATGACAAAGACGCATTTGCCTTGAGTACCGACAGAGGCCTACGGCCACCCTTCCCTGTTCCCCATGCCCAATCCAGATTGACAGACACAAACACACACATGCACATGTTCACAGGGACACACACAAACACACACACAGAGGGGGAGAGAGAGATGACGCACACATGCACACACACACACACACACACAGAGAGAGAGAGAGAGAGAGAGAGAGAGAGAGAGAGAGAGAGAGAGAGAGAGAGAGAGAGAGAGAG